ATGAGAGACGAACTTTGGCCATCTTGGCCTCCAAGGAGCACTCTTGGCTGCACTTCTTCCAAAACAGATCTATTGGTTCTTTTGGCAGCCCATGCGTGACAGGAGAGAACTATGCTCCACATGATTAACAATAGTTAATAAGAAAAATGATTAACTAAAAGAAAAACTATTAACAATAGTTATAAGAAAAATGATCACACACTTGGATGTAGCAGTAATGTCAAACTCTTATAAAGTTTCTAAAAATTTACTCTCAACTTTTGTTCTTATGACTAATTGGTAATATAGCTGTTTCATGAATCAGTACTGGACTGTAGCCCATACCTTGAATATCATTAATCTAGAATCTAGATTCTCGGTGACCTCTAGTCCATTTCTTAAGTAAGAATCTGGATCTTTTCCATACTGCCACTTTATTTCCTTTCAGCTTGTTGGGAAAAAAAGTCTTACGTTTGAAAAGTTTTTGCTGGTTTGTTATGGCAGTACTATGTTCGCTGTAGAATAATTACAAAATAGTGAGAAGTACAGAAGAAAGTAAGTCACCTGTAATCCCAGTACTTAGAGATCACTTAACATTCTAAATAAATGTGCCAAAGTATATAAATAAGTAAACCATGCACAAAAATAAGTCATATGCCTTCTCTGTGTTAACATGTTGCATTGCTTACAAATAATTTTTTTTTAATTTTGCTATCAAGTCCATTCCTACTCCTGACGACTCCATGTGTGACAGGACAGACTGTGCTCCGTATGATTAACAATGGCTGATCTTTTTGGAAGATCACCAGGCCTTCTTCCAAAGCACTTCTTGGTAGACTCCAATCTACAACCTTTCAGTAGGCAGTATTAGCCATTTATACGGCCTAGGGATTCCTTACAAAGAAATACAGTTTCTTTATTTTCTGTTAACTCCCAATTTTCCTTATTTTTCCATTGTGTCTCTCCTACTTGGCTTAAACAACATTTTTTGATAAATATTCAAGCACTTCTCCCTCCTAAAATTGTGTCTGAGTATAGGTTAACGCTT